AAATAAATCAAATCCTACCCTGGCCATGGGGGGGGGCGGTCGCCCCCCCCCCCCCCCCCCCCCTGTATCCGCCACTGGGCCCAGATGGCATTGTCTATGAGCATATGAAGGGATCCCTATCGTGTATCACACATGTATGGACTTCACTATACAACTGCTATCTGGAAACAGGCCAAGTAGCACAAGAGTGGAAGACCGGGTACTTGAAAGTGTTGTATAAGGGGAAAGGAGCCCTGAAAGACCCGAACAACTACCGAGGAATAGCACTCCTAGGGAACCCCTACAAAGTGCTCACGAAAATGATTGCCAAACCACAGACCATCCACCTATGCTCAAAACTCTCTCCCAGATGAGCAGTATGGATTCAGGAAAAATAGAGCCACCACAAATGCCATCAGCGTGCTGAACAAGGAGATACGTTATCAGCTCTCCAGAAAAGGTCAAGCTCTGTTCATTGCTGCATTTGTCGACTTCAAAAAGGCTTTTGACTCTGGGAACAGAAACTATCTCATCTAAAAGTTAGAACACCACTTTAGTATCAGAGGACAACTCCTCAAGCTGATTTTCAGCATTCTCAGCACAAATGAAGTTATCGTGGACGATGGACTCAAAAAGATTAGACCTATCCAACAGTCACGAGGGGTTCCCCAAGGGGACTCACTGAGCCCTTTACTGTTCTTCCTACTATCGCATGATTTGCCTGCCTGCATCAAAAGAGCCTGTCCATCCCTCAAGGTATTACTGTAATGTATGCAGACGATGTGGTTTTTTTTTTACTCAACATCACGTTCATCTATCCAGAATGGCCTTCAGGCCCTTGAGATATGGTCAACCAAAAACCACCTAGAAGTAAATACAGCCAAAATCAAGATCATGAAGTTTCGCCGAGGAGAGAAACTGGCACGGGACGACCACTTCCAGTACCTGGGATAAGTCTTGGAAATCGCTAATTCTTACGAATACCTTGGAGTGATTTTTCAAACAGGCTGCTTCACCAAACATATCAAGGCGAAGGTACAAAAATGTTCCCGTGCCACATATTCAATCGAGAATATCCAAAAGTTCTCCCTCAGAGCGGCTTTGAAGCTCTTTGAGATAAAGATCCGACCCATCATAACATACGCTATCGCTTCCTTTTGGTGACAGCTGTCAGCAGCTAATCTGCATAGCGTGGATAGAGTAAAATCTACATATCTCAAGAGAGTTCTGGGATTGCGCCGAGATGCCCGAAATAGATTGGTCCTTCTGATGGCTGGAACAAATCCCCTCGTGGAAGAGGTAGCCCAGGACCTCCACCTCCCTGCTACAACACAGTATCAAGCTAATCAGGAAGAAGCCCAAGAGAAATGATCTCAAATCCCAAATTAATTTTTTACTTTTCCCGCGATGACTCAACACCGATGGAAGGAATGTAGCCCTGGAAACAGACATCTTGTCACCCGGATATCTATACATGGATTTCATTTCAAAATCTGCAATAGAAAGGATTTCCATTCACCGAATGCAGACTGCACAGGCTCTCTGTGCGGAGAATGTGCTTCCTACCTCTATCACCTGCTACAATGCCTTGGAAATACAGAATCCCTCGCAGCATGGGACAAGAAAGAATAATTAAGAAAAAGAGACCTCTTTTGCGTTATGATCTGAGTCTCTCAGTTAATAATTTATTCAAAATGACTGATGCTGGATATCTTATTTGTTGCTTCCTCTTTGTATCTTTGTCACTGTTTATCTGTTCTGTGATTCTTTTTACCATCAACTTGGTGCAATAAACATTATTCATTACGTATTAATTTCCATGTTTAATTTAGGATAATTCAGGATAATTTGCAATTTTTTAAGTTTTATTCATATTTTGTAATGATTTGTCGCCCCCTCAAGTCAGCGCTCTGTGCGGGGTGCACCACTCGCAGCCCCCTCGGTATGGCTCTGGTGCTTCCTGACTGATCGCTGTCGATCGCCCATTGTCTGCCCGACCGTCGACTCCGACAGCTGACTGCGACAGGGCAGGACGAGGGAGTAGAAAGCGAAAGTGGACAGCTAGGGTAAGAGCTGCGAATGTCGGCACTGGGAGTGATCACTTTGCGATTGCCAACATTCTGCTTCCACTACCAGTACCCCAGACATGGGTAGACAAGTATTCCCAGATGGTGGGACTAATGTTGTTAACATGTGCTTGGAACCGCTATATTTGCTGTTGTAGTTTTCTCGCAGTGGCTGCCTTCTCTAAGCGCACTCCGAGAATCCTGCGAAAAAAAATTGTGATTTTGCTAAGCTTTTGCACATTCCGTTCTCTTCCATACTAAGTATTGTTTAATTAGGTCGTTGCATTCATTATTGAGTCCGTTGTAATTGACAGTGATACTTAAGTGTGTCAAGAGTCACGATAGAGTGATGTGCCGAGATTGCCAACATTTGACCAACTTCACCTTTGACCCAGGCCCTCAGAAAGTAAAGACCAGGGACACTCGAGGTGTACGGTACAAGGATAATAAAGGTATGACCTGACCAATGGCGTAGCGAGGGGGGGGGGGGGGCGGAGGGGGCTTCAGCCCCCCCCAAGTTTGGTTCTGAGTAGGACAGTCGAAAGTGGGTTGACCAGACGCAAGTGTCGGAGTTCGACAGTCGTACGGCTTTCAGTCGAGTAGTGTTTGGTGTAGTTCGAACCCCAGCGAATCGCCTGTGAGTCGTGGTTCGGGACAGAGTCTGGAAGAAGGATAAATCGCCTTTGTGTTCCCTACCAACGTGAGGCCTCCCTTATTACTCCCGTTTCCTAACCATTTCCTCATTTACGGTACAATAAATCATGCGCCTTCGTTAACCTTTCCTTGTTAACGCACCTTCAATCTCCGTTCGGAACCCGGATCAACTTAGAGAAGTTAATTCTCAAGGCGTCATTGGATCGAGTACAGGCTAAAACGCTTCTGCCGTGTTTTGAAGTTTCTCATATGATCCCGCATCTTACATACCCAACGAACACGCTACCTCTCTGTCGTCAGCATAGCCGACCACCACGGACCTGATCGCACCCCATAGTGAGTATTCGCTGCAAAATACGCCACTGCGTAGGAGCTATTAACTTTACCTTGACCTTCATGCTCGGCCCAGAAGGGTTTCGGTATTTCGTCTCTCACGGTCAGTCGAGAATGGTGACGGGAGAACCCCACTCCAGGGTTCACCACTCCCTGGTTCGGATGGGGAGGGACACGATTGGTACGATAGGATCAGAGTTGTGGAGTCCCGTTGAAAAAAGAACCCCGAGACGATAAGGCTTCCATGCCGAAACGGAAATTCTAACCACCTTGATGAAACCATGGCTACGCCAGTGTCGACTGCACTCGTCTGACCCAGGGCGAATCCGGTTGTCGTCACTTGATGCAGCGGCCAGATTAGACGAGACAAGCTGTGGGTCAGCGATGCGTAGTGGAACGTCAGCGCGATGCCTCGTCCTTCCTGTTTTCGCATCCTGTCCTCGTTCGGAGTCCTGTGGCTGTGTCGAGGTCAAGGACTAGGGGAACGATGTACGCCGAGTCCAGGGAAAGTGGGCGAATGCGTGAAGATACAGGACTGTCCCGAGGTATTATCAGAATTCCAAGTCAAGCGAATCCGCCCCACCATCTGCTCCATCGAATACTCCGGTGTGCCCATCGTCTGTTGCAAACTCACTCCCACACCTCTCGACTCTTGGTCTTCCCCGCCTTCTTCGGGGAATGGAATCCGTAAAAGTCAGGCCAGTGAGTCTCCATCGTCTTCTTTCCGGTCGCCTCATCGTTTCGCGACACCGTTTCCTTTCTTGGTGGATTCCTACAGAATGTGAGGAGTACAGAAGGACGTTGGAGAAGTTCGGCGTCAAAACGTGCTACCACAATCCGCAAGGACTGATCGTCGGTGGAACTGCAGCCGACCCCTTGGAGTTCCCGCACATGGTAGAGTCTTGTTTATCGTACGATCTTAACTTCCGCGAACATCGAGACGTTTCCTCCGTGCGTTACGGTTCTCTGTCATCTCGCCGAGTGACTACTCGCAGAATTCAATTTGCCGACTTGCAACTCGTCGATCGCTCACCTCGCCGATTGACGATTTGCCATGTTACATTGCAGACTGTTCGATGCGAATGCCTAACTTGCCAAACGTTCGACTCGCTGACTTAAATGTTGACTCGGGACAGGGCGACAACCGAACCTTGTTCCTGTTGACCTTATTTACTAAGGGAGTTTTAGGAGACCTGAATGCTCGCCGAATATCCCATTTAAACATGATTCTCAAGCATGCCTGTAAATCAGCGGGCTGATGAAGGGAAGGGAATATAGCAGAGGTATCGATTTGTCTTGATTTCACCTAGTCCAGAAAGAACCCCAAACAGACTTCGAGACGGAAGCTCTATCCTGGGTAAATTACGCATAAATGCCTATTCACTCGAACAATGAACCTTCCAACTACCAAGGATTAGAATCTCGTTTCATTAGTCCCTTGACTTCTACAGCATGTGTTTACAGCCGAACAGCCAATATGTTTTTGCGGTAAGGGCGAACGGAAATGCACCATTTGACTAAATTAACCAAGTTAGAGTTTCTGTACTGAAATTATTTACTTTGCAATGAATTACACTTCAAAACATGGCCAATGCTTTTGGCCCCTCTATATTATTACTCGGGTGGCTGGGCAGGCTCTCGGGTTGCAATGTGGGCTCAGTGTATTCTCCCCGTAAGCGTAGTGTCTCGGTCTCGAACTGCGCCAGGGACCCATACTACACTATGGGCTGGACAGGTTTCGAATCTGGAATCAGTGCTCGCTATCAAGTGAGCCATTCCAACTCCGCATAATGCCAATATAACAATAAATAAATTCCATTGGTAGATACTATTAATATTAGAAATGTATCTCAAAATAATGAAGCCTGCGAGTTCTCGAGTGATATTTGGCGAGTTAAGCATTCGAGTTGGGCAATCGGCGAGCTGAACAATTAGCGAAATTGAACATTTGACAAGTTGTACATTGAATTCGGCGAGTGATGTCATCATGCCTACCCTTGGTTCATTCTATTGCAAGGCTATTTTGGGGAAAAGAGACGGGAAAGGTGGAGTGAATTGGCAATGTGGAGGAAGCCTCATCAGTGCTCGATGGGTTCTAACGGCTGCGCACTGCTTTGACTCAAAGTACAGGTCTTCCTTATCATTACTTCATGATTCCTTTCGCTACTGATAGGATATTTAACCGATTGCGCTGGTGCCACACCGTTAATGTAAAAGTATACCCATGAGGCATAAAAAGCTTCAAAACTGTGAACTGCTTTCCATAAAAAGCTGCGCTACGCTAGTGTACAACAGGTGGATAGGATGGAGATTAATTTTATTCTCCTACAATGTAATGTGTGTTTCAGTCAGTTGACAGAGGTGAGACTAGGAGAGCACGATCTCGAGAGCTCAGAGGATGCTGCTGCTCCGGAGGATTACCGCATTATTCAAGTCATCCTCCATCCTAAGTGGAACACACGCCAGCTTCCGATTGTATGGAATCATGGAATTCACCTTCAGAAGAAAAAATAAAGCGCTGAAGATATCCATTTTTGTTTAAACAATGATTAAATGTCCCAGAAATATTATGATGCGGCCCTGGTGCGATTGGATCGTGAGGTTTCTGTTCGACCCATCATTCATCCAGCATGTCTTCCAACTCATGAAAACATCCCATCATCACAAAGTGGAGGAGAGAACCTCGTAGTAACTGCAGGATGGGGAACAACTTCTTTTGGTTCATTCTTCCCTTCATTTCTGAGTAATCCTCTGGCAAAGTATTGTATCGCTCTCAGATAATTATAATTTTATATTTTCAGGAGGACAAGTGAGCAGTATCCTGCAGAAGGTCAACATTCCCCTGATAGAGTCCTCTCGATGCGAGAACTTGATGTCTCGTTTTCCATTCCTGCTACGAGGCTACCCTGAAGGTGTGGAAGGTAGAGTCCTCTGTGCTGGAACTGACTCTGGAGGCAAAGATTCATGCCAGGTACTACTGGGGAAAACTATTCCATTGATCAATATAACATGATTTAAGGGGCATTCCATATGCTCTTAGCCTGATGCACTTTCAGGTGCAATACACTATTCTTCCTATTCACCAATTTTAGAATGTCCCTTCTAGTATAGCTGATGTGATTTGTTATGATTGATCTATGCAGGGAGACTCAGGTGGTCCACTGATGATTCCTCGTGCTCGAGACAGTTGCCAGTATTTTGTACTGGGTGTTGTGTCAAGTGGCAGTGGGTGTGGGGCTGCAGGTATCCCAGCTTTCTACACTCAGGTCTCTGCATACTTGGATTGGATTGAGGGAGTAGTCTGGAACTCAGATCCATGACACTAGGTAAAGTATCATGAACTTGCATGATATCAAGTCCAAGAAAATGATAATCCATGCAATAACAGCAATTAAAAAGTTTTCATTCCAAAACTCTGGTTATCATCAATATACATATTCAAAATAACATTTTCAGGATATTTTTCTTTCACTTTTTTCAATGCTGTTGCCATAGTCATAGACTCATTAAAAAGTAAAGCGTACATATGGAAAAATGCAAAAATCAGCTTCAGGTTGATTGGGTCACAAAAAGCCAAATAATTTAGGGTATTATTTTTCGTTGCACTTGAGATCGTGATTTAATGACTGGAGGAACAGATATTTGTCATTTAGGCTGGTATGCCTTGAATTGGGAATAAAAGCATGAACATATGGCATATCACTAAAGGCAGTGCTTCTGAGAATGCATTTGCAGGAAGAAGGGGGAACATTATGATGCTTGGAAGATCAACAAATGTACTAAAGCTGGCAATAAGTCCCCATAAAGAGACTGGTCCCACTGTTACATATTAATCTCTCCACACTCACTTCACTCACATTTATGTGAAAAGTAAAATATATTTTCCGTTTAAAACTTTTACAGCTGAGGCTTAGAGAAAACATCCTTTGTGCTAAATACTGTCAACATAGATACAAAAACATACATAGAAAAAAAAAAGACTCAGAATATAAATAGTTACCAGGACTACTTCATTTACACACACAATTCAGGAAAGTTATGAAGTTATCCTTGCCACACATGCCGATAGACACTATACTTTTTGCTGTCAGTCAAAATGTGATAACTTGCTCAGAGAGACCAGATTGAGGATAGACAGTCTAATCTGGATGGATAATTGCAGCACAGCACCATGGGATGCATTCATACATTTACAAGGTCCCCAAAACTTCCTCTACCTTCACCACACCTGTAAATTAGCTGTTCAGCTGATGAAAGTTTTTCCTCAGTGGGATGGGAAATTATTCGCTGGGTGCTTTGCTTTGGATTCCTTAGGACAAAAAAAAGTAGTGGCTTAATATACAAGAAAAGCATTAATGGTTGCAATTTTCAACAGAAGCCAATATAGGAGCAGTTCCTAGGTCACAATGACAACACTCTGTGACAGGGATGGGCTTCCTTTTGCCTTACTTCTGCAAATTTACTTCCACTATCAATGCCTAGGTTATTCTCACAAGATTGCAGTCTCTTGTATGCAGCATGTCATTTGGTGTAATAAGGTGGTTTGCTACTGAGAACAATGACAAAAGCTGCCATATCATTTTGAATGTATACTCCAATGTTACAATAGACTATATACAGTAAATTTTGATTGAACCTAAGATCAGATTAGGACCATAGTTACAACAAGCAAATAACACCATAGACTGTTAGTAACTGCTACAAGAGACTGTTACTGACCAGCAGCATTTAAAAAGCAGAGTTATATTTAATCCATTATCCTGATGATCCCCACCTCATCCATCATCCTTTCTTACAAACACATATAGAATATCATGAAAAAAAAAACTTTCTCCTGAACATTCTGATTTACCTTTTCTTTTAACATTGGAACCATTCACCACAACAAACTTCACCTTGTTGCCCCAAGGATAGTGCTAGTCACCAATGCATCCTGACAACTTCATGCTGTACTTTTGTTTGTTAGAAGTTATTTCTTCTGATTAATAGAATTTCCCACCTCTTACTTTTCAATAAAGCTTGAACGACAAAAAGACATTGCCTCAGACTCAAGATAGTAAAAAAAAAAAATAGCATGGAGATGTTTTTTGGGGGAAACCCTACATAAATTTCCAATGCAGCAAACATGCTCACGATTCATAAAAGGTATGGACTTTCCAGTGACTGAAGTCAGTGTGGGAAGAGAAGCATAAATCACAGACTCAAGTTTGGTTTTTTAATGTTCTCCCTTCATTTCCCCCCTACCACCAAGTATGAATTATTAGTACAGTTTTATCTTCTCTCACATTGAGAAGCATACAAATGGAAAGACAGAATCACAACTCATCCCTTTGCTCCTGCTTGGCAGCATCCAAAATGAAAGCTGAAATCTCACCTGCTGTCCGTCCACCTCGATAATCTGACACAAACGTCCCTTTCTTGAAAAGCTTCAAGGTTGGATATCCTTTGATTTCAAAGCGTTGATTTAGGGATGTCTCAGCAGTACCATCCACTGTGGCCAAAGCAATTTTCTGTAAACCATGCTCCTCTGCCATTATCTGAGCAGCTTTGGCATAATCTCCTTTCATCTTCTTGCAAAAACCACACCCTGATAAGATGGGATGGGGGAAAATGGACATTCATGAATAACTTTTGCTAAAAATACAACCATACTGCAAACAGAAGTTACTCACAAGGTGCATAAAACATCACAAGAGTGACATCCTGAGACTGAATGTAGGAATCGAATGTTTTCTGATTCAGGTGGGTGAGATATTGAGATCCAGGAAGATCTGTCCATTCTGAACTTGGATCCACAGCCTCTTCTGAAGAGTGTTGTGAGGACTCAACTTTACCATTGCCAACTCCAAGATGGTTCAACATGAAGGATACAAATGCATCCACCTGAAAGGGTTAAATAAACAATTTATGAAATGGTGGGAATGTCTCACATCTTGCTGAGGAAGAAATTTTAACACAGTTTACCTTTCGTTCTCCAGAATAATCATTGGAGTCTTTGTCAAAATAGTGAAAATACTTGAGAGTGGGATACCCTTGGACATCATAGGTACTGCACACAGAGGACTCAACTGTGCAGTCTACTGCTCCAAATGCCACCTGTGCATCCAACAAGTGCCATATACACATGAGGAGAAAAATGGTTATAGTCATACCAATGTGAATCAGTGACCTTGGGGTCATCTTTGAAGTGCTCAGCTGCTGCCACAAACTCAGGTTTGGCTGCCTTGCAATGTCCACACCCTGACAGAGAAAGAGAGAGATTGCTCCAATTAGAGACAATATGCATATGTAGAGGAACCCTGGAATAAGAAAGGAACAAACAGGGGGCATAGAACATGACAAGGGCATGCTTCTTGCGTCGAAGTGTTGTTCGGAAGTTTTCAGCATCCAGGTGAATAACCTCAGATGGAGTGTCCTTCCATGGTGCCTCTGGAGGGGGTGGTGGGGGTGGCTCCTTAGGATCCTTCATGAAGTTCACCAGCCCTTCCTTCTCCCTCACATTCACATCCCATTTCAAACTCCCATTCTGATGCATATCAGCACAACCATGCTCTACATCCCAAAGTATCATGCAATGCATAGGCATCATGACAAAGATGGACATTCCTTTACTGACCTGAAAGTATCTGACTGAGGGATAGCCCTTGATCTCAAATCGTTTGGCAAGTTCCTTTTCTTTGGTGGCATCAACTGCTGCCAAGTGACCTGAAATCTGAAAATGAATAACAGAATATTTAATTCAATGTCCCAATTGTGGTCACTAGTAACCTCTGATAAACAAGAGATTGAGCAATGAACTAAATGAACTACATAAACTGACATTTTCTTCCTTCAATTGCTTGGCAGCCTCCACATACTGTGGTTTCATCCGCTTGCAGTGTCCACACCATGGTGCATAAAACATCACCAATACAGAAGTTTGACTCTGCAAGGATAAAGAATACAGTAGGTTGGATGTTCATGATAAAAACAGGCCCTTAAAAACACAAGCTTTCTGACTACAGACCTGGATGAAAGGATCAAATGTAGAATCAGAAAGGTGTATAACATCACTTGGAGTCTCAGACCATTCTGGTTCTGGTTCTTTGGCTGGTGGTGGTCGTGGATCTCGCATGAAAGACACAAGAGCATCTCTTCGGTTCTCCCCCTCATAGTCGAGCTTCCTCTTACCTTCCCTTTGAACATGGTTTCAGTTTTAATTAATTAAGAGTACAATACTTGAAAGGACCACATCATCTCCTAGAGCAGCAGTTCCCAAACTGTGGTATGCATATCACTGGTGGTACATGAGGCAATGCCAGGTGGTACACAAGAGGTTTCCAAACAGACTTATTTTAAAGAATTTGCATAGTAAAGTACTAGTCTTATATACTTTATAGGGTATGCATATGTGGGACAAGTGCTAGTACACTATATATGCACCTCGTAGGCAAGTGGTACACAGAGGTTGAAAGTTTGAGAATCGCTGTCCTAGAGGCTAATACTCATGGCTCACATATCCTTCATTAATAGAGCATGTCATTGGCGAATTTAAAAAAAAAGATGGCACTAAAAAATCATTGAACAATCATAGTGGAAAGATGAACAGGCTTTAGTGATGTCTTCATTATGAAGGCATGACATTGTAAGGCCTATCTCAAGCATCAGGAGAGGAGAGATAAGGGTCAGGAAGGAATGGAAGTGCAGGGATATATGAATAGGGATGGTCTACCCTAATTTTTTCCCTGCTTTACAGTAATAATTCCTTGATGTAGTCAAGTGAATCTCAATCCATGAACCTTCCCAAAGGTGAAACTAACTCAAAGTAAATGAGGGTTGGAAACGCTGTTATGTTGTATAGCTTAGATGCCTGGGAGTTCTCAGGTCGAGTGACGTCCATGGCTGCCATGATGGCTTCTCCCTTCAGTTCACTTGCAGCTGCAGCAAAATCTGGCTTCATCTTCTTGCAAAACCCACACCACGGAGCATAAAACATCACCATCACTCCTTTCTGCTTTCCTTCCTTCTCCAAAACCTTGGTCAAAGCCTATAGGTATCCAGTTGTAACATTAAGAATCAAGACAACAGAAACTATTAATGAAGGATGAAAACATATCAGCCAACCTGAGAATTGTGCAAGTGTTTAATATCTTTAGCAGATGATTCCTCTTCCCAGGGACGATCACCAGTTGGATCTCTCATAAATTGAATCATGGAAGATGTTGTCAGCTGCCTGTCATAGTCTTTGTGGTATTCTCCATCCTTGAAATGCTTCAGGAGGATGGAGTCTGGCTCAGCCTTAAGCTTTTTACACAGCTTCTTCACTTCCGCTCTGCAATAAAAAAAAAAGATTCAATAGAAGAATGCAATGCAAAGGCCTACTTATGACACCAAAAGTGTACAAGTTTCAACCCACTATGAGTTCCAGTTGGTTACAGAGGGGGGACATTTGCAGAAGCCCAAGGTTTACGTGACCTTTCGAGAATTTAAGCCATCTCTGTAAGCTTTTGTAAATAGGCCTTTTTCATTTTCTGCCTCTCAGTTATGTTGATTTATATAGGGTCAATGAGTTAAGAAACAAGCAACCTCTTCATTGTTGCACCAGATTGCTAGCATTGATACTACAACTTGACAAACTAATAATTCTTAGCTAAGATGGTATAGAGTCATGACCATGAAGAGACAGCAAATAAGATATAAAGCAAAATCTATAGCTTTGATGCTCCATCTGAAATTAAAATTATTTTCAAAATTCAAGCAATGGCAACTTCTCCCAATAGCCACTGCATGCATTCCAGAGGAAGTACCACTTACTTTCCTCCAAACCAGGTCAGTAGGGCACAGAGAAAAAAAACACCTGTATGTGAAGGTACACTATAGGCAGTGTGTCTATTAATACTGTAAATACAATGGACACAAATAAATATGAACAGGTGCTTCTTCCAGTTGAATCCACATTGCTGCTTCATCTTTTCGGTCATTCTGGTAGTAGATATCTAGATATGATTCAGTCTTCACCAGCAAATGTTACACTTCAATGTTTTACTCCGGTGTTATGCTGTTTTACATTTGGGTGTCTAATACATTGCAATTAAGGTAAGTTCACTTTCATACAGGGTCCTCTACAACTCTCCTTCAAAAAAACTTTTCATAGGGGGCCTCCAAGTTAGGTCTGATTTTTGAATATATGAAACTGCCACTTCATATTCCATGACTTTCAGAACAAATGAGTCAACAACTTACTTGCCACAGTCTATATGCAATATGCTTCCTGAACCATATATGGTTTCAGCCACTTCTTCACAGATCTTGAGAACTCCTTGAGCATCCTTGGAAGATTTGCTGAACAAAATGAGAATATTCTTTTTTGTCCTGAGAATCTTCTTGAGTTCCTTTATGTCATTCACCTCTTCTACATTTCCCTTTGATGGACCAGCAACTACCATGGAGAGAACATGAAGACCAACCACCTATAAGAGAAAAAGGCAATCATAGCCCATAAACTTAGAGAAGCACAATTCCCTTACCATTCTTTACACAATGAAACAACAGGCAGGAGAGTCAGTAGCCATGTGAACAATGTGTAAATACAACAGTAAGAAAAGGTAACAAAAAAAAATCAACTTGACTTTTGGTAACAAGGTGTTTGCCAATTTAAAGAGTGGACCAAAGCAGAGGTGGGAAAAGTTCTTTAACTTCCCAGCAACCATAAGTTTATATACATGAGAAAAGTGATCAATAATGAAGGACAAGTTATTGTACATGTGTACTCCGCTGGGAAAAAATGTTACGAGATCTCTAATATTTGTTTTTCCCAATGCACTTCAGAGTTGCATTTTGCAATAGCTAGAAAGAGTACCTCCCAAGTCCCAATGCCATTACCTAGCAGTCTGTATCTCTTCCCCATTCAGCCCTCCCTTATCTCGCCAATGCCACAGCTCAATTTCAGTTTCCTTCCCTCCTCTATTTCCTGCTCCATTCCAACTCTTCTTCCCTCTGGTCTTTATTTCTTTTCTTCCTTCAGGTTTTACCCTCCAAAATGAATGATACTCTATCCAGCACCCTAGGTACCATGTCATGGTACATTTGCAACCCCATCCCTCATGGTGGCCTATGACAACACTTCATTCCCTATTGCTAAAACTTGCACTGTCTTTCTCCCACTCAAAGTACTAGAATCTAACAGCGTCAACCCATTTTTATATAGCCATTCAGTATACTGCTACCCTCTCTTACTACCAAATCTGCTCTATGGACAAATTTCCCCATGCACTTAAAATAGAGAATGTGGTTTATTTGATATAGCACCAAAATTAGTAGTGAACAACAGTGAAGTTATATAAGGGTTGACTGCACTCTCAACAGCTGGTGGTGGATGAACTGCATGCATTGATTTGTCTTATGCTCAATGAGAGCGTTTGGCAACTCAGTTTCAGGTCAATATGTAACAAATTTGAAAAATAGATCTAGAAAAATACTGGGTATTGCAGTATTTTTTCAGTTAGATTAGGGTTAGGACACAGCAAAGGCGGTAGCCTTTACTGAGTCTTAACCAAGCCTGTCCTAGGGCAGCCCCGATGTCCCCCCTCTAGGCGGGCTTGGTCTTAACAAATTACCGGCATAAGTTAGCGGACATTAAGAGTCTCCACTTGCTATAAGCTTTCACTGATTGGGGAAAAAGTAGACTTTGACGCAAATCCAATAACTCACGAAGATCCAGACGAGAGAAGATCGACGTAACATGGCCAGGAAACTGAACGTTCTTCTTACTTCCAATATGAGAATAGTGACTTATGGGTAGTCAGAACCATGTGGCAGAAGGACCAAGGAAGTCGCCATCTTTTACTCGACCATTGCTGCCATCAGTTCCATTTGCCACATTTATTATTGCCAGTCTGACCGCAAGCAATCTGTTGTTTTGGATGGTTTTTCCTTAGCATCCTCATCGATCCATTCTGGCGTCCCCAGAGGCAGTGTCCCCAACTCTTCCTCTAATATACCAATTACACGATTTCCCTTCTAGGGAAGAACGTCCACCTGTTAGTCAGTACTTCCCTATGCAATCCATTTTCCGCACATCCCAAGGGAAAAACAGACCGTCTCGCACCAAAGGGACCTGAAATCCATACCCATTTGGACCTCCAGATGAAATGCGCCTTTCGATCCAAGGAAAGTCAATTTTATTGCACAGATTGTAACGAAATCATTTGACACCTATATTGTGGGAAAGAAGATAGAATCTTCGTTTTTGAGAATGTTATTTATCCCATCTTTGAAGAGAAAATGAGTAACACGTCTGTATCTTGTATATTTTCCATCTGCCTGTACGAGTGGAAGTAAGAAGCGGTGGGAGGGGTAGGGGGGGGGGGGGGGGGGCGTTCAGAAATGACAAAGGCACTCAAACGTCTACGAGTCCCAGCGACAACAGGTTCTCCTTCCCTAACTGGGAAAATAACAAATATTATTCTGATAAAAAGCAGAGGCTCTTTGCCTAAATCTAAAGAGTTGAAACCTTGACATTTTCTCTTTAAAATTTTCAACTTTATTCCTAATGGAGACAGAAAGATTGATTTTGTAAATTAGAATTTGCATGACTTCAGGTTTTAACATGGGCTAGCATGAGTAGTTTGGAATATAGTTTTGTTTGTCGAATTGGTCGTTTTAGCCCTCCCCCGGCTGCGAAACTTCTCATTTACCAGTTTCTCATAACTCCCGATAGCATGATTGACAGCTTAACTCCAATCGGTGGTACAACCAACTTCCATCGTTTGGACCACAAGACATGGCCATTTAAATTTGTGGACCCCCTCCCCCTCCCACTTCCAAGAAAGTTCTTTCACCTCTTTTGTGAGAGCCTGTCTTCATTGTTTTCGAGCAACTGCGTCTGAAGAGCTTCTTTGTGCTGTGGAATTCGCCTTTCATTATTTTTTTTTGTTACGATGGAGTGGCCAGTCTGCCTCCAAGACCTGAATGCATCTCAACACATTAGTTCCATCACGAATGATCGCTTCGAGCAGAGGCTGGTGAGAAACGTTTAACTCTTTACGTTTCAATACCCGTTCTGGGATATAACCCTTGGGATAACCCTTGGGGTAACCCGTGCCAAGTTCTGGCGTGGGTCATCTTCAGTTAATTATTTTCATGCACTCTTCAAATTATACCCTTGTCGCATTCACCGTCGAACAGGCGAGTGAAAAATACACAAGTCCTGACAGCGTCATCATTTTCCCTTGGGGGGAGTAAATAATATACATTACAACCAAGGTTCTGCCTTTTTTATTTTGCCCACAACGTAGGGGTAAAATGATATCGTTATTCCGTGTACTTTGACTCGAGAAACTTACTTCCTCTACCCATCTGGCCTTGAAAAGTACGGTCCTCCTTCCATGTCATTCCTTGAAGCTTCTTGGGGTCACTTTCAGTTGTCAGCTCACTTGGGGTGCTCATATTCATGGTATTTCTGTCTCATGTCAACGGCTGTCTTTTCTTCTACCTCCTCTTGCCCCATTGTCGGGCAAGACGCTGGCATCCTCTGCTAGTTCGTCCTTTTCGAGACTTGAGCTATTCAAAGGAGGAATTTACACGTGAGGTTTGCCTTCCATTGTAGCAACAGGATTCCGACGTAAGTCACCTTCAGAAGTCCTGATCTTCATTTTGCTTCCAAAATGTTTGGTGAAAAGTCTTACTTTTTCTTCACTCTCATTCAAGTAATTAGCAATGCCAAGAAGTGACTCCTTCAGGAAATACAGAAAAGGTGTCATCTAGCAGTCTGGCACAGGGGAGAGTCATGTGGCAGTTGGAATTCACAGTGCAGCTGAGCGCACGTAGGCTATGCGTATTCACAATCAAGAGATGCATTAAAACAGGACGCCCCAGTTTAATATCCCTACCGACGAGATCTGCAGCATACCTGTCTCAGGTAGTGTGGTGAAATGCCACCTGTTTTAATATTGCGAGCGTTCGAGTGGCCCTTCCCATTTCCTTTATATTTGGGACCTTTTCTTAATTATCTGCCAGACTGTTAAGATGAAGAGATAACATTTTCCCGCCTGATATGCTGCTAGTCTGTTCTAACTTTACAGCAGTCAATCGATAGGATAGCAAATCGTCAGGAATTGGGTAATTGTGCAGAGGCAGTCTTAGAACTTGGTATCTTGAGTCTACTCTTAAAGCTATGAACGGTTTACACAAAGAACATCGATGAGCGGCGCGAGAAAATGACGTCATTCCAGCAATCTCTCTAATTTGTTGTGGTCTGGGTCAACTCATTTCCCGTATGAAGATCATGGGGGTACCCTTCTCGGTCAAGCCGAAATGTCTATCATCGACCGACATGCAGGTGTGGAATTTGTAACTGCTCCGTCCGTGACCGTCTTGGACTGTTTCCACCGATCCGAATGCCATGCATCATTAAAATTTTATTAGAAATTTCGCCTCTAACTCACACGTTTCATTACATCGATGGCTGAGGCTGCTGACTTCCGCAGTCGACCTCGTTTACTTCACCCACACCCTAACTTCGTTTCCATCTATCGTATCCGTATCTTGAACTTCACTTTAGTTATTTATTAATTATTATTATGCCTTTAAGACGTGACGTGCGGTGAAGACGTACGACAACGGACTTTTATCCGTGACGGTATCCAGAGGAAGAAGGCGTCTGCTCGGCAGAGGCACCACACACGATCGGTCCCCTTAGTAGGGGTGTCCAAACACCGTCCTGCAGGAGGTTGCGGGGACAACTCGCGGGGTTCCCTAGGCCCACGAATGGTAAGCCTGATTCTTAAGGTCTCCTCCACCCGCATGTCAAAACGTGACGGATTAGCACGTGTTCTGCTTCGACGCCAGGCAGACTCCAGAAAACAGGTGAATCGTCAGTCAGTCGATAAAAAGTTTGCGACACCAACTAAAATTTCTCACAGGCGTCTACGAACGATCCCACGAGACTAGATGCGATGTCTGCGTTCTTTCGTAGCTCCACGACGAGAATTTCCCCAGCAAACAATTTGAAACACATAACATTGAATCAACATTGAATGAACGTTCGGGACGTTGGTACAACGTGGGTCCAACGTAGCCTTGTTTGCTGGGTCGTGGATTCGTCTCGACCGATATTCGTTGACGGGCTGAAAAGTGGTGGAAGCTACGAGGAACATTCAATCACCCTCGTATCACTTCACAATACTCCCCCCAACATACACATGCCATCGCATTGCATTTATCTGACAGTTATTGAAGCATCCATGGTACTGAGGTATTTTATTTTGCTCCGAATTGACACCTTGGTCGAAGTCGCGAATAAGCAAAATGTTCCGTTCCGGCATGCCCTACTTTCAGGTCATTTGCTATTCGGTATATTTTGTTGTTTGGTTCCGGACAAATTTTATGTGCAGCTATTTCTAGTTCTGTCTCAAGGTTTGCAGGAAATAAATTTTTTGGAAATCCGGAAATAGCCCTGTGGTGTCAATTTCATCCCTATGAAATATACCTTGGTCCGAGCATCGGGGTATTATTTAGGGAATGAAGGACTATAGGAACTAAAAGGAACCCACGCCACAACTCGAAATTCAAATGTGCAAAAAAAAGCAGTGTGTTGAAAGCCTGCATTTTGCAGCCCTAACAACTCATGTGGGAAATATGCAAGGTATTTTGAACGGTTAACACTTTGAGGACGAGAAAGTTTACATGGAAAAATGTCCCAGTTCCCGGATATTTGACAACAATTTACAAATAACCGCATTACTTGAAAAAGCTCAGAGACACTGATTAGGTGGAATTCCTGAACGTCGAATTGATGAAATGGTGAATGTGGAAGTGACGAGTGAGAGTAGCATCGAAATTAATTTCTCCTTCCTCGGCCCAGTCTGCACAACAATATTGATCCAACGTTGTAACAGCATTGAAGTTTCAACATCCACGACGTCGAAGAACATTCATCGCTACATTGAATGAACATTGCTCCAATTTTTAAACGAGACAGGTCATGTCTCAACATACGCCATATATATGCGCCATTTGATTGCTGAAGTTTCCATGAAATATCAGCGTGATTTGAACCCTTTTGGTATTGAAGTTAGAGATGCCCCTCTCTCATCTCGACTCAATGCCGAGATCAGATAACGACATCCCGTTATTGCGGAAGGAAATAGACAATAGGGTAATTGCTGCTAAAGAAATTATGGCCGATAGTCACTCCGTAGATGATTCCGCGCTACTCACAGGATCAAAGTTTTCCTGGCCGAGGCGGAGGACATTTCATTGAGTCAAATCAAAACGTAAATTTTCTTCTCTCCGTTCCCACGGCCAGAATTCCACTGGGTCTCATTGGGTTGGGTTGTCTCTTTCATCGTATATACGAGGTGCGATCCAAAAGTTTCGGGAATTGACCTCTACAGGGTGACTCAAAAGTCCTTGGACACCTATTGAAAAAACCGTTGGACAAGTGATAGCCAGGTGATTTTTTGAGTGAAGCAACATCTAC